GGGGGAAGGGGGAGAGGATGGGAAGGGGAGGAAGACAGGGAGGGGGAGGGCAGAAAATACAATGAAGAACACCAAAAATAGAACTGATTAAGCAGAAGAAAAAATATGTGAACTCAAAGATTATTAGAAAATACAGTGAGATGAGGTAAAAAATGAAAGGAAAGAAGAAAGGCTGCAAGATTTAAGGAACAGTATCAAGCGAAACGATAAGAGAAAACCTTCCAAATCTGGAGAGAAGTATAAATATCCAGATATAAGAAACTCATGACATCAAAACATAAAATATGGGGGGATGGAGTAAAAATTATTCACATAACTGTAGAAAAAAGCTAAATTACAGATCAATTTCTCTCATGAACATAGATACAAAAATACTAAAATACAGTTTGGCAAATTAAACCTAAAAATATAGTGAAAAGATAATATATCACGACTATCTATAATTTATGTCAAGAATGCAGGTTGGGCTAACAGTAAAAATTAATCAATGTAATCCACCATATTTAACCAAATACAGAAGAAAACGATAAGAATGTCTCAGCTGATATAGAAGTAATCTTGAAAAAAATCCAATATCCATTCCTGATTACAGTCTCAGCAACCCAGGAATAGAAGGCAACTTCCACAACCTGGTAAAAAAAAAAAAAAAAAAAAAAAAAAAAAAAAAAATCTAAAAAATACTTATAGCTAAAACATACTTAATGGTGAAAGACAATGTCTGTTCTCAATATTTCTATCCAACATTATGCCAGAAGTTCTAGCCAAGGCAAAAAGCAAGCAAAAACAAATAATCCAGTTTGGAAAGGAAGAAATGAAACTGTTTCCATTTGCACATAACATGATCATCTATGTAGAAAAATCTGACTGATTAAATCTACAAAAATGCTAATAGATCCCACAAGTGGCTTAACAATGTTGCATGATACAAGATTGATATAAGAAAATCAATTGTAGGTCAAGCGCGGTAGCTCACACCTGTAATCCCAGCACTCTGGGAGGCAAAGGCGGGTGGATCACCTGAGGTCAGGAGTTCGAGACCACCCTGACCAATGTGCTGAAACCCCATCTCTACTAAAAACACAAAAATTAGCCAGGCATGGTGGCGTGTGCCTGTAGTCCCAACTACTTGGGAGGATGAGACAGGAGAATTGCTAGAACCCAGGAGGCGAAGATTGCAGTGAGACGAGATCGTACCACTGCACTCCAGTCTAGACAACAGAGTGAGACTCCATCTCAAAAGAAAAGAAAATTGTATTTCTATGTATTAGCAAAGAACAATATGAAATCGAAATAAAACACAATAGCATAAAAATACATGAAATAGGGATATATCTCACAAAAGATTTATAAAACCTGTACATGAAAAATTACCAACCCTCACAGAGAGAAACAAAATAGGCCCTAAATAAATGAATGATGGTCTGCACTTTCATCTTAAAAAGCTAGAATACAGAGAGAAAATTAAACCATGTTCAATATTGTTAAGATATCAGTTCTCTCCAAATTGATCTACGGAATCAATATAATCCCAATCCCAATCAAAATCCCAACAGCCAGTTTTGTTCAATTTATAAGGTGGTTCTAAGATTCATATGGAAATGCAAAGGACTTAAAATATCCAAAACAACATTGAGAAGAATAAAGTTGGAGAAATTGCACTACCTGGCTTCAATACTTATTATAAATTTACAGTCATCAAAACACAATCTTACTGGTGTATAGCAACAGACAAAGATATCAATGGAACAAAATTAAGAAAGCAGAAATACACCCACACGAACATGGTCAGATGATTTTCAACAAAGTTGAAAAGGCAATTCAGTGGAAAAAGATAGTCTTTGAAAAATAGTGCTGTAACAATTAGACACCCAGATGCAAAAACATTAATTTCATCCAT